TTTACGATCGGTTACGATGCCTAGAGTACGGAGACCTGTACGATTTCGTCAACTTAATGAGTTTGATAGGGGCCGTATAGTGGGACTTCGGGAAGCTGGACTTTCTTTTCGGGCAACTGCAGTTAGAGTGCAAAGAAGTGTAGACACTGTGGTTAGGTGTTGTCAGGCATTGCTTCGAGAAGGCCGTACGCAAAGAGCAAGGGGCACTGGACGCCGCCGTAGAACAACAGACCGTGAAGATCGCCGCCTAAGATTATTGGCCTTAAGGGACCGTTTCTCCACTACCAGGTTCATTGCAAATGAATGGTTTGCAGAACACGGAAGACCTATTGGCATGCGAAGTGTTTACCGACGAATGAGAAGTTTTGGCTTGTTTTCATACCGGCCACACTGGGTCCTCCCTTTAACTCGAGAACACCGACGTAATCGCCTTGAGTGGTGCAGACAACGGTCACTCTGGGATCAGGAATGGAACAGTATTGTCTTTAGCGACGAGTCTCGATTTTGTTTAGGCATGCACGATGGTCGTGCCAGGGTTAGAAGGCGACGTGGTGAAAGGAGGAATCCACAGTTTTTTTTTTGAAAGACATGTTCATCACACTGTTGGAGTTATGGTTTGGGGTGCTATAGCTTATGGTTCCAGGTCACTTTTAATCTTCATCAGAGGTAACATGAACGCGCAGCGTTATATCCACGAAGTTCTAGAACCCCATCTTTTACCCTATCTTGACACCCTGGCAGATCCAACTTTCCAACAGGATAATGCCCGACCACATGTTGCAAGAGTCACAATAGACTTCTTTCAACATAATGATGTCACATTGTTACCATGGCCACCAAGATTTCCCGACTTATCCCCAATTGAGCATGTGTGGGATATGATGGGTAGGAGATTGCTCAATTTGCAACGTCCTCCTCAGACTCTAGAAGCACTTTGAGAGGAGTTGGTGGTTGCCTGGAATGAGATACCACAGGAGGACATTGACCACCTGATCAGAAGCATGCCTAGGCGCGTTGGAGAATGCGTAGCACATCAGGGTGCATCCACACATTATTAAAGGTCAAAGGGCTTTAAAGCACTGCAACCATTTTGAAATTTTTATCATTTACTTATTATGCTTCATTAAGTACTTATACAAAATTTTATTAAAATAAAACCATTTAAACTGCGTGTTCGGATTTATATGTCACTTGGTATATAAACTATTAGTCACGAATAACTCCGTTTTTGAAGGGTAAACTTATATCTAGAGACCATATTCATTCCAGGAACATTCGCTTAACGAAGACTCTTGCAATGCCTTTTCCCGGAAAATGTAAAATTTAAGCTCGGACAACTTGTATCAAATGCTACTGCATAAAATCCGAAACTCACCGTAAAATCCCTTGTTAGTGATTATGGCAGAAGTCGTTGAGTGCAGCATAGCTCGACAATATCGGCGGGCTTGAGCTTTCGAACAGTTCTTAGTAGCGAGAGCGCTGAAAAGGTTCTCCGATTGAAAAGGACAAAAAGTGCTGCAGCATTCTATTCCTCCATTTTGCAGACTTAATCAGGTTTTGAGAAGCTTAACATCAGCCGTTCCGAATAAACCGAGAATATTCCATTTTCCGCAGTTATGCCGTTATTAATTCTTCCATGAGATTCGCGATAATCCTAATTTTAATGGGGCCATGGGGCTGGAGTATTTTATTGTTAGAATAAGTGTATCTCTCCAGGCAGCGACACTGGAAACAGTGACGTTACGCACCGATCCCGCTTGAATAAATCGGGCTAACTAGCCGAGAACGGATCGTGAGAACATTTATAGACAGATTTTACAAGAAGACCTTTTGTCTAGAGATCGGACTTGTAAATTTAAGAAAAATCACTTTTTCAGAATATTAACAAACGGAATGACTTCAGACGACATTTTCTGTCAGAGTAGTTGAAATTACAAGAGACGGGTAAAACTTTACCCAAAAATAAGACAATCGAAAGCTTTTCTGATCTGCGTCCTATCACAATGACAATGACAATGACTTGGAGCTCGGCCGGTTGGTGTTATATACTATCTCTCGAATTTCTTAGTTTGTGTGATAAATTCTGGACATTAATTATCAGTTTTTTCGTAAGTGATGCAAGAGGTGTTCATAAATAACATTTGATTGAGGTGACCAGATAGCATATGTAAGTCTATCAGTTTCTATTAATTTGCATCATGGTCAACTGTGAAATTTGCCAAACATTGGTAACTCGGTCAAGGCCACCTATTTCTTGCGACGCATGTAAAAAGCAGTTTCATTCTTTGTGTATCTCAAACACAGATATACTGGGCATCATAAGTACTGTTCCTGGGTTGTTTTGGAGATGTAAGAACTGCATTCCTAACTGCATTGTAATAAACCAGGATGATGTTAAGAATCTACTGAGTGGCAAAATTATAATAATAATAATAATAAAATGTCTTTATTAGGCACATTATATACACTACCATATAATGTGACCTCTACGTAGGCGAAGTCTAGCTCTTGGCTACTCTACTTAACCTACCCAAATACTCAATTGAAACACTCAATCAAAAGAAACTTTGATCAGCAAAAGACGCTTCAAAACAACGAGCTTGATAGCTTCCTAGCATACATATATACACACATATATTACGTAAACTAAAATTAAATGTAAGAATTAAAAACTAACTTTTCCAAAATTACTATAATGACAAATAAATCTGTTTCACATGCTTACGAAATCTGTTTACTGGCCAATCCTTTATATTGTCATCTAATTCGTTATAAATCAGGATAGCATTGTAAGTGTATGAACTACGAAATAAAGTTGTTTTATACATAGGGATCTCTAGTCTTTTTTTGTGTCTGAAATCAATGTCTGAATTATTTCGTCTGAAAACAAATTTCTCATAAAGATACAAGGGGGATCTAGAAGATATGATCTTATGTGTAAACACTGCTAGATGGTACTTGCAAGCATTTTCTATACACATCCAACCAAGCTGAAATCTCTTTAAGGAAACATGATCATACTTCTTGAGATTAAATACAAATCGACAACAAGTATTTTGGAGTTTTTGGAGTCTTGCTTTTGTGATAGAATCAAGACAATGATAGAACACAGTGCTACAGTAAAATAAGCTTGGAAATATAATAGCCTCACATAACTTTTTTCTAACTTTAAAATTCAAAATAGAGCGATTGACATAAAAACACTTCAACGTTGCATAACATTTTTTTAAGATAGACGAGACATGCTCCTTAAACCGTAAAGTATAATCAATAATCAACCCTAAATTTTTTGTAGTATTTACGACAGCTAGACGCTCCTTGTCGATTTTTACATCAAGAGAATTCAATACAGTGTTACGTTTGACAGCAGGACAAAAAAGCATCACTGAGCACTTATCCTTATTGAGCTTAAGATTATTACCATTTGAGTATCCTACTATTGCCTCCAAATCATCATTAAGCTCATTGATTGAAGTATGCAAAGTGTTACTATTAAAGCTTTTATATATCTGTGTATCATCGGCATAGCACATCACAGAAGAGTTTTTCACAGAGCTACCCAAGTCTATAGTATAAATTAAGTACAACAAGGGCCCTAAAACTGAACCCTGAGGGACACCTGATGTTATATCAATCGGACTAGATATAGTGTTGTCTATCTCTACTACTTGTTTACGATTTGAAAGATATGTTATAAAAAACATTAGAGGTATGTCTGAAAAACCAAAAAACTTCAATTTAGCACATAAAAGCTCATGATCTATTTTATCGAACGCCTTAGAATAATCTAATGATACAAGTGCTGAAGCATCTCCCTTATCAAGCGAAGCAATGATGTCATCTAAAACCCTTGCTAAAGCTGAAGTTGTACTAAAACCACTGCGGAAACCAGATTGACACTTGGGAAAGAAATCATTATTAGAGAAATAATGATAAACCTGATGTTTAATCAATTTCTCCAATATCTTCGATATAACAGGAATCAAAGTTATAGGTCTTAAGTCTGAGAGACATTTTGGATTTTTACATTGACGAGGTCATGGCTTCTTTCAAGAATCAAGTCACGAAATTATCTGCTGATATATCAAGATCTATGAAATCATCTCATGCAGTACCTTCTGTCAACAAACCTGTAGTATCCTATGCCGAGGTCGTTAGAAATAAGACCCAGCCAGCATTAATTATTCAGCCAAAAAATGGGAATCATCAAAGCAAGCAAACCAAAGCTGATCTAATACAGCATGTGAATCCTTGTACTGCGGAAGTTCAGTTAGCGAAAGTGAAGGATGTTAGGGATGGTGGTATTCTTATTGGCTGTAAGTCAAAGGAAGAAAATCAGAAGTTGAAAGCTATTGTTCAGGAAAAGTTGTCAGATAGTTATGTGATACGTGAAATTACCGGTATTAACCCGCGGTTTCGGCTAGTGGGCATGTCAGATAAATATTCAGATGATAAATTACGGCACTTGTTATTAAAAGGAAATACTGATATCTTCGAAGATGATTTTGAATGTAAAATTGTTAAGCACTTTCCTACTAAAAAAGACCCTTCTGTATACCAAGCTATTGTTCAGGTGGATAGGAGTAGTTATGACAAAATTGTTAAAGCTGGTTACTTGTTTGTGGGGTATGACAATTGCGCTGTTTACGATGCTATTGATGTGTATCGTTGCTTTAAATGTAATGAATTCCATCATTCTTCTAGCAAATGTAAAAGCGCAGTTGTTTGCCCACTCTGTAGCGAGAATCATGAGGTCAAACATTGCAAATCACAGACTCGTAAATGCTCAAACTGTATGAAACTTAAACAGAAAGATGGTAGTGTGCAAACGGATCATGCTGTTTGGGATAAGCAGAAAAGCAAGGCATACAATGAAGCCCTTGATAGATTAAGACACGACCTACTCAGTCAGTAGCAACCAATGCATCCCTTCGTCGTAACTCACAAGGGAGTAGATTCTAATTGTAGTGATAGGCTGCAACCTCTAATATACTACCAAAATGTTCGTGGACTCCGAACGAAAGCTGCTGTTTTTTATAATGCTATTTGTAGGTGTGAATATCCTATCATTGCAATAACTGAAACCTGATTTGATTTCTCATGTATGAGTAGTGAATTTATTCCAACTACATATAATGTGTTCCGGACTGATCGAGATTATGTAACCACTGGTTGCTCAAGAGGTGGTGGTGTGTTGATTGCGATTGATGAGCATTTTACAGCATCTTTGATAGAGATACCTGAGTTGGCAGTACTTTCTGCCCTAAAGATTGATGTAGTAGCAGTCAAGGTTTGTACCAACTCTTTTTCAGTTTACATTTGCAATGTCTACATACCACCTGATAAGCCCAATGCTGAATATGAGCAATTTTATGATGCTATCTTGTCATCGCACGTCCTATTTGATAGGAATTTAGTTATAACAGGGGATTTCAACATAGCTAACTACACTTCTTATGCTAATAGTCATGGACGCAACGCAAAATTGGTATCGTTGAACAACTTTGCTGAGGGTCTTGCTATTAATCAGTTTAACAATATTTCAAATTCTATGGACAATACCCTTGATTTAGTTTTCTGTAGTGGTCTGTGTGAGGTTGAACATTCGTGGGATCCGCTGCTAGATGAAGACCCATATCACCCTGCCCTGAATATTTGTTGTAATGTCAACAGCAGTCTCAATACTAAGCATAACTTTCCTGTTTCATTTATAAATTCTTATAATTTCCGCAAAGCCAACTTCCCGCAATTATATAATTTAATTTCAGACATGGATTGGGCTGCTTTAGATGGCTTTCATGACGCGAATGAAGCGTGTGAGTTCTTTTATAATAAACTGTACAATGCTTTTGATACCTGTGTTCCAAAATATGTCCGAGCAACGAAACGTAAATACCCACCCTGGTTCAATTCAGCAATAATTAAGCTTATCCAACGCAAGGAGAAGATTCACCGATCTTATAGACGCAACAATGATCCTAAAACGTATCAGACATTCAGGGAACTTAGATCAAAAATTAGGATAGAGTCAGATGAAGCATACAAAATATATGTCAGACAAGCTGAGAACGAAATACAAAGAGATTCGAATAAATTTTGGGGCTTCTTAAATTCTAAGCGAAAATCAACAAACTTATCAAGTAGGATGATTTACAATGGTAATGAACTTTTGGAACCGAACGACATTTTAAATGCTTTTGCGGATAACTTTTCCAAATACTACTCGTCTTCGTCAGCCACCGAAGAAACTGATGACTTTTTAATGAGCAATGAACAACCACTCAATATTACTAGATTTGAGGAGCATGAAGTTGTCTTAGCCTTGAAGCAAATAAAACCTAAGATGACTACCGGACCGGATAATGTACCAGCTTTTATTTTGCGTGACTTTGCCTCTGTGTTGGCGTGTCCTTTGACCGTTTTATTCAACTTGTGCCTTACCACCTGCACAATTCCAGAACTATGGAAGTTGTCTAAAGTATATCCAATACACAAAAACGGCAGTAGGAATGATGTATCAAATTTTAGACCTATATCAATATTGTGCAATTTTTCAAAAGCTCTAGAGATATTAATATATTTTTTTGAGTCATTAATTTTCAGATAAGGATTGTAGAAGGAAGATAAACCAAAATATGTGTGTAAAAATAAAAAAAAATAAAAAAAAAATGTTACCTTGTTTAATAAAGTATCGTCCCGACAAGTATTTCAGTGCGGACCTGTATTTGATCGTGCGGTCTTGGAGCAGCATGCCCTGACCTGTGAGGTCTTAAGTCACCTGATTCACGAGCCCTTTGCACTACATTAACAAAGGCACGAGGGGTTGGTTGCACTCGATTGGGAAACCGATTCGCATAAATCCGTGATGCATCCGGGAGCATTTTGTAAAGACTGCCCCCCCGTAAATAAGAATCATGTCCACAAGTTCAGCATTTTCGTAAACATTTGCCATTTTTGATTTCGTTTGAGCCACGCAACAAACATTACTATTCACTAACGCGTTATCGACTGACGAAAAACATCGTGATAAACGTTTCAAATTCTTTCGCTTTTTTGTTTCCGATGCGATGAACCGGTCAGGCGGATTATATCCGTTGTCGCCAAACACGAACATATTATTGAGACAGGGCGGTACTCAAACTTCCAAAGGGCTATAACTTTGTTACTTTAATTTTACCAGAAAAATGGTAAAGGAAAAAAACATTTCTTTTGATCAGATCTACTCACTGTTAAAATAAATGACTCAACTTCGAAGTATAACAGACTATATCATCATGTCAGCAGAAAAATATGTTTTCAACAACATGGTTTCATGAAAGGGCGCTCAACAGTATCAAATCTGATGAACTTCACACAGACCATAGCAGAAAACATTGACAGAGGATTACAAACAGATGTGGTCTACACAGACTTCTCCAAGGCTTTCGACAGAGTTGATCACAGGATGCTATTGCATAAGCTGAAATCTCATGGATTATCTGATCCTTTAATACAACTATTTAAGTCCTACTTCACTGGAAGAAATCAATTTGTGATGTTTAATGGCATCAGATCGTCGAAGTATGTAGCCAATTCCGGAGTGCCACAAGGCAGTAACCTAGGGCCTTTATTGTTCGTCATATTTGTGAATGACATAGTCAATGCTGTTGGCGAGAATTGTTTACTTTACGCTGATGATCTGAAGATGTTTTGTCGTGTAGTTGATGAATCAGACTGTGATCAACTGTTAGAAAATCTGGTCAGGTTGGATGCTTGGTGCTCACAAAACAATCTGTCATTAAACATCAATAAATGTTACATAATGTCTTACACTTTGAAGAAAAATCCTCTGTTATTTGACTATACCCTGTCAGGTAGCTCTATTCAGAGGACTTCAACTTTATGTGACTTAGGCGTGACATTTGACTTCCAACTAACATTCGTCAAACACATTGACAGCAAAATTTCCGAGGCAAACCGCATGTACGGCTTTATTGTAAGAAACTGCCGTGACTTCACTCAGAGTACCACCTTGAAGTTGCTGTATTATGCATATGTTAGGTCGAAGCTTGAGTATGCATTGCTAATTTGGAATCCGCATCATATTATTCATATAAGTAGGCTTGAATGTGTTCAAAGACGTTTCTTAAAATATTTGTCACTGAAAGTGGATGGCGTTTACCCGCCCATAGGTATACCTCATGATTCCTTACTTGAAAAACATCTAATCAGCAGTCTTGAAGCAAGGCGCACTTGCCAGTCAGTGATTTTTCTATTTAAGTTGATCAATAATGCTAGTGATGATTTAGCTTTATTGGGTCAGTTATCATTTAACGTACCTAGGCTGACATCCCGACAAAACGTTACGTTTTATCTACCTGCGGCACGGACAAATTATTTACACTATTCCCCTTTACATGTGATGTGTAGGAATTACAATTCTGCAAGTAACAGGATTGATATATTTAACTGCAGAATTGCTGACATAAAAAATACTATTAAGTAACCAGCATGTATCTTTTACACTTTGTAGTCTATTACTTATTACTTATTATTGTCTTTTATATCTGTGTTATGTTCTGTGTTTCCTCACCCTGTAATTGGTATTTACTGTAGGGTGTTGTAATGAATAAAATAAAAAATAAAATAAAATAAAAATAAAACAATTCCGGTTTTAGCAAAACTTTTAGAGAATATAGTCAAATATCAAATGTGCGAATATCTCTTAGCTAATAATATCTTTCCTGAGTAACAGTCCGGATTCCGGGAGGGTTATAGTACGGTGACAGCATTGGCGCAAGTGTCAGATGATATTATCAAGCAATATGATAATGCAAATGCCTCGACACTCATACTGCGGGATTTTTTTTTTCTAAGTCATTTGACACCATAGATCATTAGCTACTTTGTGCGAAGCTAGCATATTACGGTTTTGCCGGTTTGTCTTTATAGTTTTTCCAAACATATCTTTCAGGACGCCAGCAAATAGTATCTGTAGACGACAAATTTTCTGACCCGGCTTTTATTGCTTCCGGCGTGCCGCAAGGTTCCGTTCTTGGACCTATCCTTTTTCTGGTGTACACGTCAAACATCCATATTCTTGTTTGCCATTCGCTGATGACACACAATTGCTAAAAGATATTAATGGTGATCTCAATGGAATACAAAATTTCTGCAAAAACAATAGCTTGAAATTAAATTCTTCTAAGTCTTCTGCTATGCTTTTTTGTTCAAACAATAGTCGTGATAATTTACTTAAGAAACTTGATATAAAAATTGGTGGAGTTTCATTGCCATCAGTGGATTCAGCTAAAAATTTAAGGTTATCGTTTGATAGCTAGCTGCGCTTCAAAGCACATCTATCCTAATCCTGCTTCAATTTAAAACGATTTTACTACAATAAGCATATTACGAATCTTAAAATCCGGAAAATAACGGGTGATTTTTTAAGAGGTATAGGATTTGATTTTCAAGAAAAAAAAATGAGAAAAAACGATTAAATCTTTATTTGAATCGATAAAACGGCCGATATAATTTAATGTTTAAAGATTATTTCATGTAAATGGTGGCCGCGGCTCCGCTTTAGATGGCCCATGCGCAAGGTCCAATTTTGGCACACTCTCTCCAACATATCGACCGGTATCTCACGAATGAATGCTTTAATATTGGCTTCCAGTGCGTCAATCGTTGCTGGTTTATCCCTGTAGACATTACCCTTAACAAGGCCCCACAAGAAATAGTCCAACGGCGTTAAATCACACGATCTAGGCGGCCAATTGACGGGCAACAAACGTGAGATAAACTGTTCACCGAACTCGCCTCTCAATGGGGCCATTGTTTCGTGTGCGGTGTGGCATGTGGCACCGTCTTGTTGAAACCACATGTCAGTCAAGTCCAGCTCTTCCATTTTGGGCAAAAAAAAGTTTGTTATCATGGCACGGTAGCGCTCGCCATTCACAGTTACGTTCCGGCCCTTGTCGTCTTTGAAGAAGTACGGCCCGATGATGCCACCGGCCCATAATCCACACCAAACAGTGATTTTTTCGGGATGCATTGGTATCTCTTGCAATGCTTCTGGCTGGTCTTCACTCCAGATGCGGCAATTTTGCTTGTTAACGTACCCATCCAACCAGAAATGAGCTTTCGATAAAAATGTGGATCTTCCTCCTACTTTGCCAGCGCCCATTCTCCAAATTGGAAACGTTGTGGGACGTCGTGTGGCTTCAATTCTTGCACCAGCTGTATCTTGTAAGGTTTTACACCCAAATCCTGTCGCAAAATTTTCCACGTAGTGGAGTAACAGAGGCCCAATTGCTGCGAACGGCGGCGAATCGACATTTCACGGTCATCACTAACACTGGCGGATACAGCCGCAATATTTTCTTCAGTCCTCACTCTACGTCTGCGTGTTGGTGGTTTAATGTACAATAATGTAAACTGGGTTCGAAATTTAGTCACAAGCTTCCGAATAGCTCCCGCAGTAGGCCGACCAAATTGCCCATAAACTGGAAGCGGTGCTCGATGCACTCTCTTAACCGAGCATGAATTTTGATAGTAAAATTCAATAATTTGCAAGCGTTGTTCGTTCGTAAGTCGATTCATGGTTAAATTATAGACCAAACTGAACAAGTTTGACAATGACACAAGACACGATTCACGCGTCATCTGTCAAAAACAGTGTTGCCAAAAAGATACTAGCAAAAAAATCACCCATTATTATGTGAATCTCTGATATTCCCTATTATTGCTTATTGCATTACTATTTACTATCCATGTCTGGATGTTGCATCGAAAAATAGATTACAAGAGTTTCAAAATAGCTGTTGCAGATTTATATACAATATTAAAAAACATGATCCAACGTCGGGAAAAATAATTGAACTAAAATGGTTGAGAATAGACGATATGTACAGATACTCAGTTGCTACTATGATACATAAAATAATAACTTCGCAGTATCCCCCTTACTTATATAGGAAATTATTGTTTCGCGGAAGAAATGATGACGTCAATTTCAGATTCACAAACCGACTTGAAATTCCATTATACAATACGACGCTATTCCGTCGGTCATTTATACACAGGGTGTCCCAGAAGTCGACGTCAAGCCGAAACCGGGTGCAAAGTCATAACAGCTATCAGAAAAATATTTAAAAAAAATGTATGTATGTGTTTTGAAAATTATAGGTCTTTGAAACAAATATAGAAATTTCACACCCTACGGCAGTCTGTCAACTCCTGTGACTACAAATTTTAACTCTTTTTGGATTTCATTTTTACAATGTAATGATGAATAATGCATCTTCAAACTGGTGTCTCAACCTTACTGCCAACTTTTCTCGTTCAGGAAAAATTGCCACTTATTTCCCAACCAAGTATTCCAAAGTAAAACTTTGCTCAACTTTAACTGGCTGTACTGGAAAAAAATGTACTACGAGAGTTTGGCAAGTAACCTTAAAAGTTGGCGCATTTAATAAGGATTCCAAAATGGTATAACAC